CCCGTTTGTTCGATTTAATTTAATTGAATTGATTGCTGCAAAATGAGATACAGTGAAAGAAAAAGTAATATTTTAAGATCGCCAGCAAAAGGCGAGGCGCTAACACAAGTTGTTGTTGCAACATTTGGTGCAAAATACAGATTGGGGCAAGTGTATAAGGTAGATGTGACGTGTAAAGAACAGTTGATTTATGAAATCTGGCGGCGAAGATGCCGACAAGTTAAAGATGTGATAATTTAAATCCTTAAGAATATTGCTTTTACAAGATAATTGTATGTTTGGCTCTCCGTTTAATCATCGCTCTTGAAACAGTACCGTGTTCAGACCTCACTACAGAACGCGATTAAACAAGCGAAACGTTATTCGTGCAACACGAGTTAAACGAGCGAGGCAATGCAAACGATGGTAGCAGGCGAGGGGGGGGGGAGGGGGGGAAAGAAGATTGTTCGCTGTGAATTTATAATTGTAATCAAATCAAATTTCGCTCAGTCGACTTCTACCCGGAGAAACTTTGGGGCGAGTGATTTTCGCATCTTGCGCGGGAAGACGCCGCGACTGCTGCGAACACGAAAGCCGATTATTTACTTCAGCGGGTGGATTCATTACTTTGCTTTTGAAGTAACATCACAGCCAAGTGTTACAATGGCGGTTACGAAAGCGCAGTAGACTTTCATCGCCGTAACAGGAGGATGCTATAATATACAATAACGCAATAGCAATGTATACCGGCATTGAAATCACTGTTGCGTGCATTTCTATAACAAATACTAATATCGCGCGGAAACAGTCGTGGCACACATTTCTAATATCTGTTTTATTGTCATCGATATCACGAGATTGTCACGATATCCCTCCACTTTCCGCACTTTTGCTACCTTTTACCCGAGATGAAAAGTCAAGATGACGTCGATTTTATGTCACGCCGGCCAAATTTATGTCATATCCTGGACGTCATCTTGACTTTTCATTTCTCCTTGGGGTATTAACGACAGGTGGAGAAAGAAATCCGATACATTTATATTAGAATAACGTTCGCGTTACAATTGAACTCCAAATCAAGTTAAATCATGTGAATTGTGATTAGCTCATTGGGAATTAGCTCATCATTTAACTCTGTTAAATCCGGGAGTTAATGAAAATGCCTGATATGTTAGTCAATGTCTTACTGCGCGTAATACAATTCGCAACAGTTGTAAGCAAACATGTACCTGCGCGAATTGTAAACGCAATTAGTTGTTTACCATGCTGGAGATGCACTAAGGACTCTAATACGGTCCGCTTGTGTCTCTACGTTCCTCATCAGTCGATGCTTTGCTTCCAAAAGCGCAGCGCAACATGCTCGCCCTTTGTACGCTAACGATCGATACCCGTGAAAATTAAATTCGTTGGAAAATGTTCAGGTTGAAATTACAAGAGGACGTCCGAGATTGGCATTTTTATTTAATTCCTTTACCTTTAACGATATAAATTGACTATAAAACCCGAGATTACAACTTGATTTACGTTCAAATATAACGACTCCGCGGATTTCTATAGGGGTGGGGGAAAACCAATGAATTAAATAACGATTAAACAGAATGGGACAAAATGGGAAAGTGCACTCGGTTCAAGTGGAGACGACACGAACGTCTGTATGAGCCATGCATACACGTGGCACTCGAATCTTCCAGATCAATTGAATTCAGAAAGCGCACGTCGAAATCTTCACGGTTCATCGACTTCACGTAGAACGCCGCGGAAGGAAGACAGTTACGACTGTCCAGCCATCCATTTGATTCCCCTTGGCTGTCTACTTATCCGTTTATCGACGAGATCTACCGGTATGCGCGCTATGCGCCCGCGTGTTCGACGTGAGACGAGAAGTCGGTTTCTCTCAAACATTTATGCGAAAGAACGGACCTCCTGACCTTTTGTCTCGCTTTTAGCCGCATTAACGCAACAGGTTCCAACATTTATTTTCGCAGATAAGTGTTGAATTAAGGTACTACTCGGAGCTAGTGTGCTTTTAATTCGGGACAACAAAAGAGCCGGAGTACCCGCGGCCGGAGTTTCTGCGAATGTACGAAGACACGGCAAACCATGCGTTCAGGACTTAACTATCTGCATGTGAGGGCCGGTATTAACCGCGCTTACTCGCTGTGCACCGCATTCGTGTGAAAATGAAGCGTTTTTCCGCCTCTTAGTACACTCCCGAATAATTTTCGCTGGGTTAGCACAGCGAGGACACATCTGGCTCACCCAAGTTTTTAGTCTCTCCTCGAACGTGCTTAGCATTTCCGTGATATAGTCGCGCAAATAGAGAGGGTTTGCCATTCTTCTTGCGGAAGATTAATAACAAAAAAAAATAAAATAAAGACGAAAGTAGAGACCGTAAGACGAAATATCCTGCTGTGGCCATTATTGGAAACTGTGCATCCTGTAGCGGATGTACGTCCTTCAGTGTAAACATACCCGCTGAATTTTTAATTTATAATTAAAGGCTTTCGAGGTTCTCAGATACTTTGATATAGACCGGGAACACGAAACCACACTGTACACAAATTCCTGCGAGACTTGCGCACATCCACTTTGCTCAGATAAAAACGATACGTTTGTATGTCCCGAAAATTCTCCAAGTTCTTTTTTTTTTTTAATGTTACGTATATTCATCCACGTGCATTTTTAGTCACATTCTGCCAACATGTGACTTTATTGCCCTTGGAGCGAAATCTGCTCAGTGGGAAATTCATCGTTAGATTGTGTGATTGAATTTGGGGGCTGCAAACCTGCAATCTCATATTGGAAACCTATCTCATAATAGAGGCCCTTCCTCTACTTTTACTCAATGTTAGGACTAAAAGAAAAACCTGTATATTCTCTCTGAATTAGGTTGCTCTCACACGTGAATTTATTAATAACTTATTAATAACTATTATACGGGTGGGAAAGAAATACGGGGTATATGAATTTACATATTAATTTAATTGGCTACCTGCAGCTGGCCAGGACCTAAATGACGTTTACGTTTGTATCAGGTTTACGTTTGTATTGAGATAACTGTTGTGTTAAGTATTAACGTAAATTAGCAATTGACATAATGATTTATACAATTACAAGTAATTAATATGATATATAGGATATAATACAAATTATATATATAGTGGTTTATATTATATTACAATTATTATATTAATTAATTATCACATTACTTATAGTTGTGTGGTAATGATCCTACACTGAGAAGAGCATGTTAAAGTTAAAGCGTTATCGTACGGGATTTCGTATTTATTTGGGTCCTTTGGGCCCTTATTTGGGAAAAGGGTCCAAATCTGGGACCGAAAGTAGTTGTGGTGTTTTTTTAAATTAAAACATTGGCCAGTGTGGGTCGTTTAAAAGTAACACATCATTGGTTTGAAACTAATGGCGATATTAAATCTATTTGTGAGTTCTCATTTATGCATTTAATTGCACTTCACCTGCGCGTGTAACGCTATTGTACACGATGATGTTCGTTAGTATAAATGACGACTTTATATCGTGAATTAATTCCACAAACGAATGCTGGTGCACTAAGTAGCTTTATCGTTATGAGCTTTCGGACCAATCAACTGTTCCGCCTCGTCGAAGTCCTTGTGCCGCACTGAAAAGAGGGACCAGTATTCCCATTGACGAAAGCATCGCTGTCTATCTCGTTGCGAGAGTTAACAGCGACGTGACTCTCGCGATTGAAACAGTTGTTTCCGTGCTCTTCGAGATGCAACAACGTTCTCGTGGGTTTAATCGTTAAAAGCTGCACGAGGGATGAAAGTGGTAGGGAGTCGCGTAACATGAAAGGCCTCCGCCTGACCGATGACTTGAATGCGGCTTGGATGTGATACAGCTATGTGCAAGAGTATGCGAGTTATGCAATCCCGCCGCCGTCGACCTCAGAGAAACGGATTTCCCGCGGTATTACCATAAGATATTGGATTCATGTACCAACGTATTTATTTTACGTGATAGCGTGCGATAGAGTTCCCGCTAAAACTTGCCTCATATGCCTTGCAAAAAAAAAGAGAGGGAAAAATGAAGAACTGGATCGCGCTTGCGCAAGTGTGAATTCTACGATGTGGGCCACTTTCACTAACGTCGGTTAACCGTTAACCAGAGTTCAGTCGACTCCCTATCTTTTTCCTTCGGTTAGCAGTTAACAGCCGTTTGTGAAACTGGCCTACATTGTAAAATCCACAAACTCGATCGAGTTATTTATTTTTCCTCTTTTTTTTTGCTCGAGGTATATAATTTCAGCGGGGAAACTCTATCTCTGAAATGTCTTTGAAGGATGATACGTCAATGGCGTGCAAATATAAAGCAAAGTGCGTAAGTAATGACAAAGATAATCAAGTGGATTAAGCAAGCAACACTGGGTTTGGTCCAAGAGCTGTACAGGCGAGATAAAGCGCCGCTACTCCTTTCTTGCATCGATATAACCGTTATCGATGACGCAGCTGATACGGTTGCGTCGCGACAGTTTAATTACGTTTTCCACGGTCCTCTGTGCGACGATGATAAATGGGGGTGTACGTTATACATTACAACGGAAAGCGGTGTACTTTTGGTATATACCTCGAGCCGGAGCGCGGAATGGGGCGCGGAATGGCGACGAAGGCGCCGTCCTCGACAAAGCTGACTTCCGTGCTCCTCGTGGCGTCGAATTCCGGCGAGCAGCCCCACGTTACGGCTGTTGCCTCCGACTGTCCCTTCCTCGCCCTGGCGTACTCTATAACTTTGGCGCCGTTGTAAATTATGTCAGCCATGCACCCCCGCAGATAGTCCGTATGACCTGCGAATCAGAGGAGACGGACGTGGAGTTAGTCTCGACGCGCGATATCGACGGGAAAAACTTGGCGAAGGGGATGTAGGTATCGTCTCGTAACGACGGCGACATACGCTTTCGCATTGGACGGAAATTTGTAAAACACGCTGTACGCGTTTTACGGACGAGCTGTGTAGGGTGGTGTCCATTTAAACATTGCATTAATGAGGTCGTTATTGATTCGTGTTCCAAGCGCTACGTAGAAATATAACCGCGAACGATTGCGATTCCAGACGAATGGGGGGAGCTTTTGACGGCGGCGAGCGTTATTACTTTTTATTTTCTCTGATTGGCGGACGGTACGTCATTAGCGAATCGGAGAAAACTAATTAGAAGATGAATCGTCGTGCATTTACTATTAATCGCATCGCCAGGGAATACGGGACGATGCAGCAGACACTTGTTTAACAGTCGTCTCTCGTTTGAAAAATATTTTCGTTTCAATAATTCCTCCGTAGTGGAAACAAACGGTGCACAACGCCCGCTTGATTTCCATGCCTGATTTCACTTAATTGCAACAGTCGAAGTGTTCGTAGCGAAATCCAATTTTGCCGAGTATTCGAAACTTCCTGCGACGCAACGCTGTCAACGCGGGGAAGCGAATAATATCTATATAATATGAGTGCGCACGATGTACTTGATATTTGCGACAGATGCAACGGATTCGGCGGTTTCGCGCCGCGGGCGGGCTTGTTACAACGCGAAGTTAATTGTCTTCGTGTGTGACAAGCGCATCTCTCTGGCGGGCTGGTGAATTACCCTCGAGCTGCCGCGTGTCGATGGATGCCGAGACGCCCTTGTACCACTCTGGGCATGACAGAAACGGACGGGGATATGTGTATATAAGCGGTCCGAGATGGGCGTTTATTGGCACGCCGCGGAATCGCGAGTACAATTTGCGAACGGCATACCGGCGACCACGCTAAACAAGCCGGCCCTGCCTTAAGACCGAATCGGACTAGTAATTGCCGACTCGGATTAGATTAGATTAGGATTGGCGATTGGCGATTGTCTTTTAGCCAATGAGAGCAAAGCAGCCAGCGATTTAGTCGACTCTCATTGGCTAGAGGCGATTTGCGATTGTCTTCTAGCCAATGAGAGTCGATTAATCGCTGCCTGCTTTGCTCTCATTGGCCAGAAGACAATCGCCAATCGCCAATCCCAATTCAATCCGAGTCGGCAATTGCCGGTCTGATTCGGCTTTTACAGCGTCATTGCGGCGCACCGCTCGGTGCGGCCTCGTGACAACGTCCTCAGTCTTCGGTCTTTTTGCATAATGCAAAATTTTATTGATTGTAAGATGTTTTGGCGCGCGGCCAATCCCGCCGCAGGACAGCGACCACGGTGGTTTACGCGTCTCTAAACACCGGTGAATCCGCCCGACGCGCGGTTGCTGCCATATGTCGGGGTGAAATAACGATTTTCGGAAGACGGGTTTGCATGGGCAATAATATTTCAGCGGTCTTACGAATTGACAGCGATGCTTTCAACAAGCATTGCTTTTGCAGGCTCTCTCTCTCTCTCCCTCTCCCTCTCCCCCTCCCCCCTCTCGCATTTTTACTCTCGGGCGATAGCATTTTCTTCTGAATTTCTCTTCTCTTAATTTGCTGAGATAGTCTTGGCTTTAACTTTTCGTTAAGTTTAATCTAATAAAGATCTGAATTATAGATTAATAAAATTGTGAAACTTACATAAGATTACTTCATATTTACATTTTTTTAAAAATGGAGAAATTGTTTTTAGTCAAGGAAAAGTAAATATTAAGTGGAGAAATGACCGTCTTGAGAGACATTGTAAAGAGGTAGCGCCGATAAAGTTAATAAACTTTTGCGTCCAAAGGGGCTTCTCGCGCAGATATTAGGATTACGATACTGACACGTCGGAATGTATATATTTTTTATTGATTTCGCATGGCTATCAAATATACGTCGTGTGGTGAGAATATCCTCTACCTATATTTCTACGGAGCCGGAGGAAATAGCGGCCGATAAGCGAAATCCACACCGAGAATCTTGCAATCGACTATATAGGTGTACGCTCGCATTGTACGCTTTTATGTGTACGCGCACGCTACCTACATAGATATAACTAATATGGCACACATATACAATACATATATGTGCCATGTACGATGTACCATAGATAAGATTTTATTTCACAATTTGTACTTGATGTCCACACTGATAGAGTTAAGAATCTAAATTAAACTTGAAACGCACAGTTAAGCAATTAGAAATGTTATCTTTCTATTAATATGGAGTGGATTTTATTGCAATAGAAATTATCCTATAGCGCTTAATCGTCTGGTACGTCGAGAACTAAAACTCGAAGTTGAAGAGCAAAGGGAGAAGATCTTAAATCGTCTGTGGAGAGGATTGATTGCAAATTTCCTCAAGAATGTTGTAATTACACAACTAGTTGATGCTATTTTCCGGGCGCTCCGTAGAACTTTATACGAATCCGTATCGGAGATAGGTTTTTCGCATCCTCCTTCGAATGGGGTCGGTTCTTTTTCTTTATTCCTCGACTCGAGAATTTAGCAAGGCACATGCCAGGGAATTAATAAGACCTTCTCCGAGGGGTGGGCCACACCGTGCCATGGGGTACAAATGAATTGTCATGAATATGTAAATTGAATTTTGAGCTGGTCGCCGAGTATTATGCGTGACGGCCGACAGGATAACGATAGGGGCGCGTCAGACAGGGAGAAGGAGAGAGAGAAAGAGAGAGAAAGAGGGGGAGGGAGGGAGAGACAGGGAGAGACAGAGGGGGGGGGGAGAGAGAGAGAGAGAGAGAGAGAGAAAACGAAGCTGTTAGTGCTGATTATATTCAATTTCGTTGGCGTCAATTCGAATGGAATGACCTAGTTGAATTTTTTGTCTCACTACGAAGAAATGATTGCCGGTCGCTGTGGCTGATGCACCAGGCGTGCATTAAAGAGCCTGGTCGTTATCAAGCTGCTTGTGGCATGTACGGAGCGCGAAGGGTGCAGCCGCTCGAGCATAAGAGAGCCAAGTTACACCAACAATAAGTTATATACGACGAAAAATCGTAAGCGCGACGCGGAAATTATTATTACGCGCGTTATATATTGTACGTACAGATTATATACCACTGACCCTCTCGATTCTTATTTTTCCCCTAAAAGAATCCGTAAATTTTTCGTCTCTGGCATTTTTACATTTTCACATTTCTGTGAAAAATACATAAACGAAATTACCGGCGTTAATTCTCATTGTAATTCATTTAAATTGTAATTTACTTAGTGACATATCTTAATTAAACGCGCAGCGATACATTTTAGTATATCCCGGTGTTTTCGGAAATACTCGAGAAATAATAGCACGATTCTTTTTCTTATAAAGCTTTCGGCGCATTTTGCGACACATTGGAAAATAGAAAGGATATCCCCGCCTTTTCTTGGTCGTCCGACTCGTAGTGTTCTATGACCGGTGGCGGTGGGTGTACTGTCAAGCAGAAGAACGTATAATCCGGAATTTCGCCGCAAAGGCGTAATACACCGGAGCGTTGTAGCCGCACGAGAGGTGGAAGGAGAATTTTCCAATCGCCGTTTCTCACGGGAGACGTATCGCGACTTCCAATTTATTCGCGGTGCAAATAGAATCGCGGGTGCGATAATGAAATTAGGATCGGCAACGAGATTATAAATGCGATCGACTTGGCGAATACATTTTACGATTGAGCGAAGTTACACTGGCATTGATGAAGTGCCGCTCGAGCGGTACATCGAACAGTAATTACGACCGTTTCTAATGCACGAGACGAGTCTCGTTCCATATTGCCGTTCACACAACGAAAACAAAAGCAAATGTTTGAATTACATCCCCGTCCGTGCGATTTTGTGCAACGCGTGCTCTCGGTGCATCATTATTTAAGCCCTCTGCCATTGCGGAAACACCGCGAGACAGCGCGTATGTCATACTTTCGATATAATAATATCGACCACTGTGCCGTTGTAATCACCTGTTTTCACTCGTTGTCACGATTCAGCGCGATGATAAACAATTGATTTGCAACCATAGAACCTATTATCCGGTACGATCATCCAGAAAGTGCAGGGCACCATTTATATTAGATAAATCTAATTTTATATAAACCGAGGAAATAATCATATTTAAGATTATTCATAATTTTCCTATAATTTAAATCTATTCGTGGGTCTTCTCAGTTCAACGTCGATTTATAATTCCTGTACGACAGAATTTATTCTTGCTCCATGTATTTTAACAGTATTTTACATTAAATTTCACATTTTCTAAGTTAGTTGAGTTTCCATTAATATGATTGCACTGAAGAGAACACCAATAACTTTCATTCCGGAGGAAAAGTCCGCAGGAAAAGTTTTTTAATATTTCTAGAAAATATATATGAAATATATATACCAAGCTTTCCGCCTTAAAAATTGCCGTCTAGGAGATGTTAAAAATTTCTTTTAAATATAATACGGTCACACAGTGTAAAATCACGGAATGTCGGCCTTATGAAATATGAAATAAACCTCAAAATAGGATATTGAAATATTTCCGGATTTTTGGACATTATTATTTTAGAAAGAGTTTACTTTTTAAACATAATTTTTAAGGTATTAAATTTGGTCCCTTCTGCTTTTTATACTAGAAAATTTTTAATTCTTCAAAAAGCTACAACAAAATTTCATAAAATACAATGTTTAATTTTTTTTTACATTTACACTGTGTCTTCATTCTATCTCGTGGAATTGTCATTACGGGGACCATATCTGACGAAACAACATCGTCTCGACAATGTCGCCGTTCTATGTACCTAGGTTGACATAGTTCGCGTTGTAATTTCGTTGTCCGCAAGTGGACTTGAGTATAACACAATTCCAAGGGATAATTCATCAAGATTTCACGATCACGTTAAACTTATCTCGTAACACAAAATGCATCATTTCCATTTATGTATGAATGCGTTTTAAATATTCTGACACGCACAACATGTACACAAACATTCACAGAATATACGATATCATACTCCAGGTTTTAATAATTACGTATCGTTTCTGTTAATTTAATAAATTAATCATGAAACGGAAATTAATAATATTATGTGAATAATGCACGGAATTCGTACTCTGAATTATTAAATTGCAAACAATGTTTATTTCATATATTTTACAGGTATACTATCGATAATCGTCTCTTTATTCTTTTATTAATGCTTATTAAATTACTAAGCTTATTAAATTACTAGAAAAAGAAAAAGCGCGGAATATTTAATAATTATACATATAATGAGCGTATAATATTTTGATAATGTATTCTGGAAATTAAATAGAATTGAAAATCTTAACACATTTGCAGCCAGCGATTCTAGTGTGCTATATAAAACTGGGAACCTCGCGTGCGATATATAAAAAATCTATAGCTGGCTGCAGCAAAATTCTAGCATTAAATTAAGAATAAAAAAATGAAAAGCGTTGCTTTATATCATCATGCTTGTAATCGCTTGTTTAACGTTTAAAACAATTTATACGTTACAAATCCAGATAGAAAAAATTTCAACTTGATAAATATGGGGATGTTAAAATTAAAAACCTATTAAAACTTGTTAAACATATACTTTTTCAAACTAATCAAATACTTTTACATGAAAATAAAATTTAATCTTTTTTTCATATGATGATTTGTGAAGCTTTGCCCTCACATAAAAAAATCCTACAGGATTTGCAAATAAAAGATATGTCAGTAAATTTCCCATTAACTTTGCATATTTACATCGTTTTTGTGGACACTTTTTGTGACTTTTAAACTTGATTCTTTAATCCCCTGTTTCACTCGAGACATTTATATTTTGCAAATGAGCAATATACTTTTTAAGTTTTGGTATTTTATACAAAAAGAAACACATAAACAAATTTGTTTCATATTAGGACTCAAAGTATTTTTAACTCCGTTTAAACTTTCAGTAAACTTGACATTGTTTTACTGTCAGATAATTGCAGTAATCATAAATATGATTCTATGATTCGTAAAAATATAAAACTATAAAATAACAAAATTACGTCAACAGCAGCGAATGTGTCAATAAGAAAATATTAGCTTAAACTCGGTCAAATCTATAGTTGCACACCACGTTCCATTTTTCAATCTATTACTAATGTTTATAGCAAAGATGAAATTTATTAATTTTTACTGTTTACATGATTTTATCTTTTGATTTTACATATAATTTGTAATACAAATTACATACATTGATCGATAGATATAACAATCAGCTGATACATAAATTGATTACTAATTATAAATTTGAATTATACACAATTATTTAATGCTTTTTAATGAAAATTTGAATAATTATGATTAATTACTCCAACTAAAACAAATTATTGAATGTAATACTATATAAATAAATTTAACAAATAATGTTTATCTATATTTTATGATGGAAATACAAACAAGTTAGTTGATTATTATTTTTTTAAATATAAATTTGATATCACGAGAAAAACACGGTGCTTTTAATAATAAATTAAGGAACAAAATGAGTTTGAGCCAATTTAATTTACTTCATTTATTAAAATCATGATTTTTGAATAATTAAAATCACAATTTTACTTCTCGTGGAGCGTAAAAATTTGAAAAAAAAGGACTTGCGCGAATACTTTTTTACGATTAAAGCAAATTTTATTCTTCAAATGCACAGAAGATTACGCGGAAGATAACACAGAATAATAGCTCGTTGAAGATCTAACTTGGAGCACAAAGGATAAGATATTTATAGTATTATCGTCACATGAATATTTGTGGTAGCAAATTCGTTGGCAGCCGTCGTGTTTGTTCAACGGCGAACAGTGCGATGTGGAATGTACAGTGCAAGGTCATTGCGTTATCATTCACGCAGCAATGCTCGAACAAGCACGAACGGAGCAGGTCGTATTGACGTATAGTGATGGACAGAATGGTTGCAACACATTCTTTTAAATAAGTTTAGGAATGCACATTTAGATTCAGGTTTAACATTTTCTCTAAGTAAAAGCGATCGGAAATGCTCGAAAAAGAACCGACAAGCAGCGGTGCAAACAGTTCCGGTCGCATCTTTTCCTCGAAGCATGATTATTACCCAACGAATTTAATACGTTATTAAGCGATTGCAGGTTAGCACCTGTTTAACAATTTGTAAAGGAGTACATCATAGTAGATATTTCGCGGTTATTTAGCACAGCGATAAAAAGTTCGAGTTATTCAAACGTGATAAACAGCCGCGATATTATAAACGTTCATTAACAATCGATTTAAAAGCCAAGAATGAAATATTCAGCGTTAAATATTTCATAGGGGCGGTAAATTGGTGAGGCATGGAGAGCGCGGAACTCATTCTTCGTGTAAGGTTTAGCTGTTGTATACACGAGATAAGTTTGCTCTTCGAGTGAGCAGGCAGCATCGTGAATCGCACTGTGTGTCGTATTATTCGCCGAAACGTGCTTGCGCCAAGAGACGTTGAACTGATCATTTTTCACGAACACTTAGCGACTGTCAATTCGCGCATCTCAAGTACCGTGCATTTTCGCGCGATTAATTTCTGATAAGTAGTTCAAGATCGTTAACAATGGTTTAGGAGGAGGCCCGGAAGGCATCGGGCGGTGGCAGAGCAACTATGAGATAAATAATTCATTATTATTTATTATTTGCAGAATTAATAATTTATCATTATCTCATACGCGCAATAATTGTTTTTTGAAATATTAATTATTTTCGGCGTTGATATAATTTGAGTACATTTGTATTTCACAGTTCTCGACATAGTTTGCTACGTAGCACACTCGCTGTTATGCATCGTATCGATGAGTGATAAATAATTTTTCAAGTTTTATTCGAGGCAACGGGTTTTGTGAAAATTTTCATTGTAACAACGCCACGAATAAATATAACATCTCACAGATTCATTCTCTTAAAATGGATGGACTACGACAAATTAGTCTTAATCATTTAATCCAAAGAAACGTACGGTCGTGCAACAATTTGTTGTGCATATGAAAATGTGCATTTTTACCAAGTGCGACAGATACAATTTTCAGGAAACGCGAAAAGCATCATGAGAGTATTATTCGCATTAATAACGCTGTTCGCGAGAAAGTTTGAAGTATCAACTATATTATAACTATAAAGATTTTAGAATTTGTTGCTTAGGTAAATAGTGCAGACAATAAAAAACGAGAAAGTAACCAAGTAAAACTGTATTAAGTAGAGTGTTGATATTTTTAGAATAAAGCGTTATTTCAGTTCTTTTATGGTGTTCTCATATCTCACAGATAATAAAGATCGAAGACAACAGGTTATTTATATATTCTGGATATATTATATATACTTTTATATAAAATAAAAAGTAATCTTTGTAGAAGATTTAAAAATTAGTAGCGACTAAGCTTATATTATTTTTTATTTTTTCTTCTCTTTCTCATTTCCAAAGATACTTTTATTAGAATTGCAATTTTGCGTATGTTTGGTTGCATTTCTTTATCAGGATTAAATATTTTATATACCGCTTCGAGAAAAAAACAATACATTTTTTTTAAGTGTGCACAAGTGCATGCAAGAAAAATAGAAAATACTTTTCACAGTTACAGCACGTTTTGTAACCTTAGCAAAAAGACGTGCATAATAATTTTATCCTAATCTGTCACATAGTCCATCTATAGTTATTGAAGATTTGACTTTTCATTATTTAAAAGAAAATGAAGTATATCTATGCAAAAGAATCAAAGGATGAAAGCGGTATAGTAATACGAAAATCATTACTCGAAGACAGACCAGTAAAGGCCTAAGCATGTGAAATTCGCGATTCCATTAAGCACTTTCGGTCGGTTATAATTGGAAAAATATTATGTAATTTCGATATTTTTGTACTGGAGTTACGAATTAATCCCCGAAGCAATACAGTGAATGCAATATTACATATTATTAATTATAGAACACTCTGTGTAAAATATATATTCGATGCTGTTTTGAGCTATCGCAGTGAAAATTTATCCGCGCATTCTTTTTGACATATATTCTTTAAAAACTTGTTCCGTAAACGGTAATTTAATTGTTCTTATAGCAATTCGATTGATTCTGATTTTGTCGCACAAAAGAATATGCAACTATTCCGATATCGGTCGATATCGATATCAATGTTCTTGGTAATAACCCCGTTTACAAAATTTCATTTACACGACAGATTAATTTGACCAAACAAACAAACAATTATTAATGAATTAATTTTATATTCCCTCATATGCACCGTTTGCAAAATTAAACTTTTACCGTAATTCACCACTGTCGTAACTTTATTGGGTTTATTTTCTGGCACAAGATGAAAGAAAAATATTAAAATGTTTAATTTTCGTACAATTTTTTCAAAATAATTCAATAAACGGAGATAAAACTAAAAATATTGCGCACGGTAATCGCGCTTCTATGGCACCGTCTCATTTCAATTTTGTTTACGTACAACAGTTTAACAAAAACGTGGGGAAAAATTCTATACATTTCCATATTGTTCGCTATAAATTTGTTTATATTTGCGCATTTTTATTTTATCAACATCTCGTGGGCACGACGCGATACGACGCAAGTTGCTGACAATAGTTTGCCAACGTCTCTAACGACAGCTACGAGAAACGGTATAAAAAAAAGAAGAGAGAACGTGGACGAGCGCGACGCTAATTATTTATTAAGCGCGGCTGTTAGGCTTGATTACCTAATCTCCTCCATCGTCTCCGCTGCAGTTGGGTTGGATTGCCGAGCATTTAACGAAACGAAGCGAAAGAAAAGAGAGGTAGTCGTGACCGCGGATGCAACGTCGACGGATATAGTGTTTCCCGGTGTGGCGCGTATCGAATCTAGTTCAGTCACGTGGCGAGACAATTTATCCGGATGAAGCAAGGCTCGCCTCTGCCCTTTCCTCGCTCGCCTCCGCCGTCTTACCTAGGAATAGCTCGTTGAAGTCACCCTGTCCGCCAATGAAGACGCCGTAGTGTATGTTGAGCTCGAAAAACCGACCCGGTAGTTGAGACCTCGTCGTGTGTATCACGTCGATCTGCAGGCTGATGTTGGCCTCGCGTCTTGTCAAGTTGACCTCGTGCCAACTGAGGTCGTTGAGCGTCAACCCGCGGGCGCTCGCCATCTCATTCTCGCCCGCGCCCAGATTAATGTGGACCTGTGCGACAAAAAGCAGTAGGAGCCGCCGCTCGTAAAAGTCAGTCTCATTTTTACCGGAGTTATTGTGAACGCGCCGCTACCGCAAATGGGTTTTATACGTACGCGCGCGGTACGAACGCATTCTTGTTTTGTTTTTCCCCGGTCTTTTTTTTTTTTCCCGAGGCCGGTTGTTCCTCCTCGAAATAGAGCTTCGGTTTCCGGCCGTAGACCCGGTGCGCTTTATGCCCTTCCGCGCGTCAGCTAGCTTGCGCACTGAAGCGCATAAAAAAAGATATTATATGGAAACGCGTAAAGAGTTTTCACCGGTGAATAGCGAGAGAGAGAGAGCGAGAGGGAGGGATGTGCGCGTATACTTTTAGGAGAAGGGTTTAATGAAGGAAGTAAACGACGGCTGGGTTGTACGCGCAGAAGCTTCCATGGAAGCGTCCTCCATCATAATGCTGTAAGGTAGCTTAGCTTCTTTGCGGTCTCGCAGTGTCATCAAAAAGTTTCGCACACTCGCCGTGAAATAATTATACTGCAACGGCGCGAGAGCGAACGAAATAGGCCAAAATCCGATCAAAGTTTACAAAACATTTTTAAGGAGATCCTGACGGCGCTGAACTCGGAAATTGTTGATAATTTGACGTTCTATAGTGCCATTCAGCCCAGAATTGGGTCATTGCACTGAAAAAAATTTCTGGTTGAATATGGACGAATCAGATAATTCCTTTAGGATTTACCAGAATTCCTTTAGGATTTACCAGAATTTCTGTAGGATTTACCAGAATTCCTGTAATCCTACAGAAATTCTGGTAAATCCTAAAGGAATTCTGATAAATCCTAAAGGAATTATCTGATTCGTCCATATTCAACCAGAAATTTTTTTCAGTGTGAGAAACGCTACGAGTTACTGATTCAATGTCATCAGTTACTGATGCTGCTAATCAGTTCTGTTTCTTACTTAGTAAGTTTGTGACAGTCAATAATCAACTGTAATAACATCAATGATTTTTATTGACCGTATCTGGCAATTAAAATTCTTATTGCGAAAAATACTACCCCAACCAGGATTCGAACCTGGGACCTCCCTCAATCCGTGACGGGCGTCTTACCAGCTCGACCACTGGGGCTGTCAATTGTAATAGTTTTACATTACTGTTACACAAGCTACAATAGTAATAAAATACTTGTGTAATATATATATACATTGTTATAAAAAATGTTTAACAGAACTGGTGAACAGGGAACTGAACTGACAACTGGACACTAACTGACTGGATAACTGATCAGCTACAACTGGTGAATCAACTGATGGCTCAACTACAACTGGAAGTTTTATCAATTACTGATGAATATAAAACTGAATAAATGACCAGTTTTTATACCAGTAACTGGTAAAATTGTTTCAATATACTGGTTGTGCTGTCAGAAGTTACAATGATCGGTTATCCATCAGTTAGTGATCAGTTTTTTATCGATCTTGACTGCACGTTTTCTTAAGGGTAAGTGAACGTTCCTTTGAACTGACAGCTTTACGTGCAACGCTGAGAAATATTTTATGATTTTTGTTCGTTTTTAGTTTCAAACTGTATTTCTGTACATACTTTAAGTATGAAAGAATGTTTAATTCTGTAAAACACCAATTCGAAGATACCTGTGGCACACTGCATGTCGGTATCCAGCATCCCCTTAAAACTCTAGCTATATCCGCTTTGCGGACAGGAACGATGCTTTTAAATATTAGCATTGCCGCAAGCAGGCGACTCGGCGTGCGCATTTAATTTTATCTCTCGTTGAAGAACCGTCCATTCGTCGCGAACTCGAAATTCGAGTGGGGCTTCAATTTTTCGCACTTCCAAGGAACACACATAAATGTACAAAAAAAAAGGTTTAGGTTGCCAAAGTAGGTGTACCAAGCTCGGCACACGAGGTTTCCTGGCGCCAGTCATGCCCTGCAAATTCTCCGACAGCGTGAGCTGACAGGAATCCGACAGCTCGAGGTTTCGTGTATTCCGTCTGCACTTGAGGCACTCGCACAATGAGTTTGCACACCGAGAGAATGAAGAAGGCAGACAGCTAGACAGACAGTGAAAACGGCTTTCGGTCTCGCGCGGAAAATAAATGTCGAATCCCCCCGATCGCTCCGGCGTGCCCATACTTTCGCCGTAATGAGAGAAACGCGAACGCAGTTTAGCGACGTCGCTCATGAGATACGTTTTTCGCAAATTATTTCCGTATTTAAGCGCACGCGTAAGAACGCGAGACAGAGACGTGTATCGTTATTCCCTTAAAACGCGTCGTACGACAACGGTTGCTGCAGCTACTTTGTAATCGCGCCACCGGGGATTCCTAGTTACGCGTGGTGGATTTACAATACATCCACTGGGGTATAAATTCCAAACTCCCCGTGCATATTTAGATTCGCGGAAGTCACCTAAATCAACCGCCTGCCTCCTGCGCTGTCGCTCGGCATTGTAGATCCTCGAATAGTTATGGATCCTTGCATGTTTGATGATAAATTTTCTTATGACCAGATGGGTATTGTTTACGATATTTATACAGGATTTTATATAAAATCAGGATATTCTGGAAAGACATAAACACATCAGAAACTTATATGTAAACAGATAATTTACTTGACAAAAACTCCGTATACCTTATTGCGTTTTTTTCTATGGTGATTATATTAATATTTTATTAAAACTATCGATACTGCCGGACATGTTCCTATATCCGGACATTTACATGAAAATTTATCGTTATTGATCTCAAACGGCTCTTTTTATCGGTAATATCAATATATTTAAACAGTGTTCTTAAAATTTGCCTAAGAAAATTGTCTTGTTAAATTAATTTTTATTTCACTTTAATGTTCTCGTTTCACAAACAAAGTTTTACTTGAACAAAAAGATGTAGAATTATTATAAAAATGCTTTTAACTTTCAATGAGTCCGGGCATTAGTTAATTTGTACGTTTACACATTTTTATTCGACTTAAAATTATTTCTTTTTCATCTTGTATTTACGTGACGAGAATAGGAGTTTTTATATATAAATATTTTATTGAAAACTTAGGTGCTGCAAAAAATAAATTATATATTTAAAAGAGAAAGATACAAATCTGAAAATATCTGCAACGACCGTCACCTTTTGCAGGACTAGAGAATAGAAAATAGAATGCCGGATGGCTGCGTTGCGGATAAATGCCCTTCGCGAGATACTTTCTGTAGCTTCGTTTAAACGCGCCCAATGTTTCAACGCGGTGCAATGCATTATCGAGTTACCGGGTAGTACACGATGCGCTTTAGTCAGAGACGAAGTAGCAGGGTCCTGATAAAGAGGTTTTAATCGTGACCCGGATCGAACGTCCGAGACTTATAGCATTCCGGTGCGACGTCGCCACGGTATTCTTCGCGCGGTCTCCGTTGATCCTACGTAAGAGATCGCCCGAGGAAGAACGTCCGCTGAGGTTCTCCTCTTAATGAAAAGTCGATCGTCCGAGACTAAAGTCGCAGTGGCGGCGCAGCGGCGCATATCGCCGGTCTCACAATCGACCCGGTAATAAAGGCGCGGAGCTTTCGCGAGTTGGGAGCACGGCCGACGGGTAGTATAGTCGGATGCAGCGATGCCGGATGACTATGCAGGACCCATTAATATGTATAAGCGCGCGAGACGAGACACTTGGCAGAATGTAAACGCGCCTTTGTACACACCGTCGCGTCCAAGGGCCCGGCCAGCGGGGGTGCTCGACGCATTATGAATGCATCGACGATCGGAAAGTGAGCAATATCGGGAGCCCACCGATGCGTGCCGGCGCGGCCGAAATCGTCGGGTTATCCGGTGGCACGGTCTGCGGCCGAGCCACCATCATGTATCCGAGTTTACCGCGAATACACGGATCGCGACGGTATACAGTGACGGCCGGAAGAAATGTGTCCCGGGAGTGTAAGAGCATAGCGTTATAATGAATGGGCGTCGCAGAAAAACTTTCTTCCCAACATTCGCTAACAGCTGAGATAGAAATCCTGTTTCCGCCATTTAAATTGATTAAATACAAAACACATGCGATGTCACAGCATCAGCTATTCATTTGTGCATCTCGGTTACTTTTTCGTAGACAATGGCTGCTGCACTTGCAAGGTCATTTTGTTAGCGTAGTATGGCAGGAGCGTCCATCAGCGAAGGAAAATTTTCTCTCGCGTCAGCCCCCGGTGAATGTCGCGACGCACACCGAAATACGTCGGAGCAATTAAAATTCGATTCACCGGATTACCGAGAGATTCCGCGCCATTTCGCGCCCGAGATATGCGCTCGTCGGCAAAAACGAAATGCTCGCTCCAGTTTATTAGAACAGGCGCGCCTCCCCGTTTGCTTTTTAACTGTAAGCGCAACACTGTAGGAGATATTTATTTGGGTCAGGAAAAATGTCGCGCATTACTAGCAACGATGTTTCATAATTACTAGGATTACGGTCCTCCTAACGAAGAGGAAAGGTACAATAAGACTCTTTCTCTAATTACCAGGCATTACGGCCCATTATATCAGCTTGCTACTATCAAATTCTTAACATCTCGGACTCATTACGAGCGCCTTCGGTACTCTCTCACTTTAACACGTGCATTTTATTTTAACGAACGATTTTTCGTGATTGACACTTTTCCAAATTTACACGCAATATAGTCTTGGAGAGAGAGGACGAACAGCTGCCGCGCGCAAGTGAGTTAAAGCGATTAATTCCAAGTAGGGGAACCCGGGGCATAACGGGAACGCTAAGGTTAAAATTAATTTTAAACAAAATGAAAATACATAAATGAATTATTTTTTTACGAAAATATTCTTTGAAATGTCTACTATAAGAAAAAAAATGGTTTTACTGTGAAAGAATAGTTTAAAAGGACGAAATTTTTATTTTATTGAGACCATGACTTAATCTGATTATCATTTTATGCGGGGCATAATGGGACTCCTCACAAAACTTATATATTTCTTATACATTAATGTTTAAAACTTATTAAA